TATATATATATATATATATGTATATATATTTTGCAATAATGCAAAATATATTGTACTATTTTTTAGCAGGATTTTCCAAATGTTACTTCAATGCAGAAACATCGTATTTTTATGACTAGAGTAATAATATTTAATATCAATGTAATTAAATAATATTGTTTCTTCACTCTTTTTGAAGGTAAAATAATATCTAGTACGAATAGTGATTACAAATGCGAAAACTGACGTCTAATTTTCTTAGTTATTCTTAAGGAACTGCGAGTTATTATATATTTTTCGTTCATGCATTTCTTTAAAATCGTTAAATTTCTCCTTATGTTTCTCTTCTTTTTGATTTTCGATATGAAAATATATTTTACGAACAAAATATTTGTCTCTTTGAAGTTGAGTCTCGTTCAATTCTATGTATTATATCTTGACTACATTGTTATATTGTTAATTTACAGTCTGGCCATAAAAAAAGAAACGCGAAAGATTTAAAAAGACCCAATAATAAAATTCCATTGAAATAAACAATTATTTGTGTTTCATTATGCATAACTTGATACTGTTTTTCTGACACCACACGCTTATCGTATCAGTGATAATAGGAACTAAGTTTATAAGTTTAATTCAAAGTCAAACTTCTAAAAAAAATATGCGCGACTTGACAGCGTTTAGAAATAAACTTAAAAATAATTCAAAGGTAAGAAGAGAACACTATCGATATAGCTTCTCAATGTTGAGACTTTAAACGATCATAAAATAAAAATACAGTTTCATCTTCATAATAACGAATAAAAGATCTTGTGCCTTCAATTTCAATGCGCGCGATATAAAAATACGCAGTAGCAGGTGTGCACGTTAAAAATCCAAGTCACGGATTCTTTGAAGAAATTCGCATCTACGTTTGATTCGTTTTTCTCTGTAGATATAATTCTTGACAAAATTTTGTAATTAATTCCTTAAGCGCAATGGCAAGATGGGAGGTTCTTACTGGTACGATATCTGTCGGAACATGCTACTAATCTCCTCCATCGTTTTATTCTTTGTCTCGGGTACTTTCTTGTAAATGAAGAAAACGAAGAATGCTTGTAGCGCGGCGAAAATGATGAATACGTAGGCACCCAGTGACTCCTGTAGCGGTAGAAATCCGATACTGACGATAAAATTCGCCGTCCAATTGACCGCAATAGCAACGGACGTCGCCGCAGGTCTCGCAGACTGATTAAACAACTCGGACACCAGGAACCAAGGGATACTACCCGGTCCAGTTGCAAATAAGATCACGAATGTCATTACTAATACAATGGAGGAATAAGCTGCTGCACGAGATGTATCCTGAAAATGGGAGGAGGAAGAAATTAGTAAGCAAGAATATTGCACATTTCTGCAATATTAAATTTATGTATACTATATATAGTAGTACTACTTACTGCAAAAGCAAGGCAAATCGCGAGCAACGCGGTATCGACAAACATTCCAGAGAATCCAGCCAATAGCAACGTTTTCCTTCCAGCTTTCTCGACGAGTATCAACGAAACAAAAGTCATAACGACGTTCATCGCTCCGACAGCCATCGTCGCATTCTGGGCTGCGGTTTTGTCCAACTGCGCCATCGTGAATATCTTGGTGGAGAAGAACATGACGGCATTTATCCCAGACAATTGTTGAGCGAACATAACCATAAGCGCAATTATTAATGGAATTCTGAGAGTCGGGTTTACAAATAATTCCTTCAGCGTAACCTTTGGTACAAGTTTCACTGATTCGTATTCTGTTCTCATTTCTTCCATCTCATCGTGAACTTCGATCGTGCCACGCAACCAGGCCAAAGCTGCAGAGAAAAAAAGAAGAATCATTGAATTGAACCGATAAACGTTTTGCTCCAGTAATACAATACAATTCTACTCTATATTTCTGTGGATGTGAAACCAATCGCAGTGCTGCTCTGTATCGTACGCGAGATACGTGCGATGCAACTGAATCTCTGTGAATTTCTGCTCTAAGACGCCATCAAAACAATACCGTGGAACGTACCTCTCTGAGCTTCCATGTCCTTCCCCTTACTAAGCAACAAATATTTCGGACTTTCCGGGCACAGTGGAAGCGTGACCACTTGGAAGATCGCGGGAACAATCGTCAGGCACAAAAGAAGCGGCCATTGATCCTCGGTGCCCAAGATTTGTTCTAATCCAAGAATCTGCGATACCAGAATAGACATGGTAATAACCAGTTGATAAACGGTGCCAACAGCTCCTCGCAGATGAATAGGTGATATTTCGGATAAATACATGGGCGCCAGGCCGGCGTTTAATCCTGCATTGATGCCGATTATGAATCTGCCGATGATTATCATCTCGTAGCTCTTCGCCGTTTTAGCACAGCCCTCGAAGATTACCGTGATGAGGACCAGAATGTTGTTCAGCAACAAACCGCCCTTCCTGCCGAAACGATCGGCCACCGAGCCCACTAGAGAACCACCGATCATCCCGCCCACGCAGAATATCGACACCGCTATCGACCATATCATCGTTACTTCAGACTGCTTCGTTGGTTCACCAGTACGATTCATCTTCAGGTTACTGATCCAGTCTTCGATAAGCTGTAACACAACACATCATCCATATCTCTTTTTTTTTTTTTTTTTTTTTTAAATCATCATTTCGACTGTTGTTTGTCGATCGTTGGATCCGACGATTGAATATAAAATTGACACTACCGAATAACCGACGCTATATACATATTCTCGAAGTGTTAGTGTTTCGACGTTCGAGCAACAATGGCGCCTGCACGAGCGAATTTAACTTGCAAAAGTGTACGTAGATACATACGAAAATCTACGATAAAAAAAAGAAAGAAAAAAAAAGGAGAAAACATTATGCACATATGCGAAACACAAGTGATTATTGATTCTCCGCGTCGTGTTGAAATAAAAATTCTTCCAACACAACTGTCACCACGTTGCACGACCTTTGAATAGATTCGAAGACGTCATTGGAGAGAAAAAAAATTAATCACTGCAAATGCAAACGTCCAACTATCGACTGATATTTTTAATTAACAACAGTTCTAAAGTTACTCGGAGCAACAATTTTGCTGTTCAGAAATTTGAGAATGAAGCACGATCGGCAAGTGGGTGGTAACCGTACTGATATTGCGTACAAGAAATATGCTGACAAATGTGTCTTATGAAATATACCTGCTGAGGTGCGTTAACAACACCGGTGTTGTACCCATGTTGAAACGATGATCCGAGTGCAGCAGCTGCGATAGCAAATGCTAATCGTCCATTTAGACCCTGCAATGAAGACAATTGTTTATTATTTATCAGACACGTCGCGAACATGTTGGAAAATTTCTTCAAAATCTAGAGGAACAGCTTACGAACATTAACCGACATTCGCAAACTTACTTTCTATTGCGACAATTTTGCCAAATTATCTTACACAAAAGAAATTAATTTAAAAACGTTAATATATTTATATTTGAAGTGGAACTACTTCGATAGAGATCGTTTGTAACCTCCAACGTTTGGCTTTGTTTACATTGAATCACATAGACCCTAAGCCGTTTTCCCCCAAGATACAAGCGAATAAAGTCCCGTGAACGACGAGCAGGTAAAGACAAGCGAGCAAAGCTTTCGACCATGACGAACGATTCGCGATGATTAAGCGTTGAAAAAAGAAATCGAAAGGCCTATTTTTATCTTACCGTCCTCCCCAAATTAGTAAATTCAACCGTTTTCAGAGTCATCGAGAGATATATTCCGTTTGATGGACAGACTTGATTTTTTTTTATGCAAAGTGTCTACATGTACTTTCTCTCTCTCTATATATATATATATGTATGTGTGTGTATAAGGTCTCCAGTCTCCGGTGTTTTCAAGCACGTGTCAGAGATTATTCTGCGGGTCGGTACCCCTGCCACCCATTTTTATACCGCTTCTGTCCACGGCGCACAACCACACGCTGAACAAACCGTTGCACTTACACGGCGCGCACGCACACACACGTATCCGAAGGAACTTTACCAGTCAGTGTTTCTCAAACCGATCAGGCGGACAGCACGAGCGTGATTCGATTGAACCGATTGTGGGCGGCGCAGAATACCGAGTCAGGCTGGTGGTGTATTTTCGTGGCCAAAATGAGCATTAACGAGCGAGAGACTCGCAATAATATGCATTTAACGTGCGCAAGTTAATAGTCGGGAGAATAATAATTATTCTATATAGTTACGAAATACGTTTCAATTACGTTCGAATTAATTACGATAAATAATTTCGTTTGCAATCGAGCATGGGCAAACGTAACAATAATTTTGAAAAGTGTAGCGACAGATTTTTCTTTTTTTTTTTTTTTTTTTTTCAAAGACAGAAAAAAACGTTTTTAGTCACGTACCTTCCGAAGATTCTGACAACGAGGATGCAATAAAGACGAATGGACACTTCGACAAGTGAAAATAACGCTAATGATTGGAATTGCGTTCCCAAAAATAATAATCGAAAAAGTTTCATCTCCGCGGAAACACCAAGTATAAAAAAATTAGAAGATAATCCCACTGTAATAGATTTATTCGATTTATGCTAAATAGTGAAAATTACAAAAAGAAAAAAAATGCAAAAAGAGTGAAACTACTTGGGAATGTGAACTTTGTTTGGTAGCTTTACATATTCCAGAATGTTTCAAAAAGTATCATACTGAAATAAACTACTAATATCTAGAAGTTATTTTTTGGAAAATTTATCATTAATAAATAGTTTATTATTAATAAATACGTTATATTTTTCTACCATACCGTATCATCTAGTCAGCTTTTCAGTGTTTTTTGAATCATTTCTACACTGCATTGACTAAGTATACTTTGTTCACAATGTTTATACATGACTGCAGCGCGAATAGGTTAATTTCAAATTAATTCGTGCGAATCAATTATCTATCTCAGAAACGTCGAATCGGGAGATATAAAAGAATCAATCAAGTTACATTCAATTGCGTACACACACACACACACACACACACTCTCTCTCTCTCTCTCTCTCTCTCTCTCTCTCTGTCTGATCCAACACAACACACCAGTTCTACGTTACTGTCGGAGTAAACACGGACGGATCGATACACCGTTCGAAACGACACATCAACCGATCGCAACGAGTGTCAGACACGGACTGCCGTTCCTCGTTTCATCGCCG